TCGCGACGTGGAAAGAAATGACAAGGACGCATCTAAACCAGTCGCTAGACACTTTTATCTCCGTAATCATTCTAAAACAGTATATGGCAGTTTGCGGCCTTTCCTTACATCTAGGCGGTTCGGAAAGCTGTAAAACACTAAAACAAAAATTATCTTCCAAATCGGCACCCTTAATCCCGACGGACTCAACGAGCGCTTTTCATTCAACTAATTTATTTCTGTTTTCTCGTCACCCTATTCCCACCAATAGCGTAGCTCCACTTTCTGCATATAAACCCAAACATAACCCACAATTCCTCCAATCGCTCTGACGAAGGGCTAACACTCGAAACGTCAGCTTTTTTACCCTTTACGGTGGCCAATTTGCATTTTCAACTCAGTTGTTAACACTAAATTACCTGCTATACTCTCCCACCGACGCAGCACCACAGTTTCTTTAGAAACTTACCTCCTTTATTCTATTATCTTGTATTATAACCCACCTATTAATTTTAGCGCGATTTTATTGGCTTCTTCACGTCATGTGGCGCAAAATCACTGGACAGTTATCACGCCGTAACCCTCGTCTGGGTCGATCTTTGCCCTCCGAATATTTCCCTCGAAATGAAATAAAGCCAGCGGAACAAAACCAGCTTGAAGCTTTCGTCTCTATTATTATTTTACACGGAAGAAAATCAAACTCATTTTGTAAAATCCAGTGATGGTGATATTAAAAACTTGGTCGCAAATACTGATCCACCGTCAGATCAACACTTGAATTTTCACGAGCGGTTTCGGGTGCTAAAAAAAATTTATGAGAGGGTTTTAAAATATACACACCCCTTTCCTGCCTTCCTGGTATGTCGGGTGATAATGTCCTTGGTTGAGTGATTGTCCTCAACATTACTCAAGGGAGTGCATGTGGGCTTTAGTGAATGGGTGATCCTTTAGGCGGGCTTTTGCAGGTTTCATCGGTAAGTAGTTTCCTTCGTAAATGAATAGGCTGGTTAAATCAACAAATAAATACACTTCCACATTATTTTAAATAAGTAAATCTGAACAAATATTGTTATTGAATCACAATAATGTAATTTCAAAAGAGCATTAACTTTCAAAAGATTCTAAGGAAACTATAGTTGAATAGAGCCATAAAAGACCTTCCAATTTATCTAAAAAGATAAATCCAACAGAAGGTAAAGAAGATGAACTAATACTGAGCAGAAAAGATGCATAGAAAGAGCCACTTTGGCGAGGTAAAAAACCGCGTTGTAGTTTGGATTTTTAAGTTAAGAGTGCAACCATTTATTTCCACACAAATCCTTATATTTTGTCCCTTGTGCAATGATAACATATTTGCATGTTTACAAAGGCTTAATGTGCAATCTTGGGCAACCTCTAACTTAAGCAACAAATTTTCCTGGAATTCTACAAACTCTGTTTTTATTTTTTATACTTTCTTTTAAAGTTAAGAGTAAATGATAATGTACACACTGTAATTATAAAAGAGCATCAAATACTGTAGACTGAATTAAAAATCTTACACATCTTTGTTCTGTACTTGTTCAGTGCTGTCAGAAGAAGTTAGACTGTTGGTTTTTCTCAGGAGACATGCAGTTTGGTAAGGAGGATTTATTGGTTCCTGGATGGGTGACAGTGTTTGATATTCTTTCCCTCCAGTAGAAGTTGTGAGTGGATATGTTTGGTCTGAATCATAACCACTAAGGTCACCACAGGCCATGAAAGGAACAACAATCCTGTTTACTCCTTCAAGACTGTAAATTCAAAACAGTTGCACTTGAATGAGTCAAGGATGCTCAGTAGCATTTTGTATAGTTATTTAAAAATTTTAAAAATCTTTCCAGACAGCAGATGTAAAATTTTTGATGTCCAGAATGTTAGATTTCCCCTTTTTTTCTGTTGTAGGTAGCTAGTGAAATATGAAAATGAGAAGTTCTAAAGAAGTTTCTTTGCACTGGAAAAATCATGGTCATAAACTTGCTTTAAGATGAAACTACCATAAATATGGTGGCTCCTAAATGACAAAGACAGTGCCTGCCAGCAGGTTAATATGAATCACACCTTTGTTCTCCAACCTGATTATTTTCCCTGGAGGTTAAATCACACTTGACTATTTTTATAATATGAACTAAAATTTATTAATATCTCAAGCACTGGTTTTGATAATTGACAATACATCAAGTTGGTTGCCCACTGGTGACTAGCCTTTTAAGCACAGTTTCCAACAATCAATTTTCAGCAACATTCATGGCCACCCAGTCACAGTTTTGTAGGCTATAAAGGGGTTTGAAGGAGAGGTCTGGTTTAAAAGCACCAACTCGTTTTCATCACTTACATGTAATAAAATCACCTTACTCCATTAAAACTGTGTTTCAGTTTTAATAATTTCACCACAAGAATTTGGGTTTGATTGTCCAGAAAACTTGTTTGTCAAAGACCATTTTTAAGTAGACATGTGATTGGGACTTTTGGAAAGGTAGCTAAGATATACAAAAAAACTGACAAGCACCAACCTTTTGAACTGGTTCGGGTCAACAAGGAGAGGATTGCACATTATTGGCACATAACCAATGGGAGGAGAATAATTCTGACACACAACAAAAGATTCAATGCTTGAATTTCGACTGCTCCGTGGCTTACATATAGTCACAGTAGAGAAGAACACCTTCAATTGACTGTACAGAATGTCAACATCTTTTCCTCTGAAAATTTTGGCCACAAAAACTCCCCCATGCTTTAGGAGATGACTGGTAATATTGAGTGCAGCAAGTAAGAGCTGTCCTTGGATGTATTCATCAATGTCATGGAGACCAGTAACATCTGGAGCCCCATCACATATCACCAAATCAGCTTCCTCTCCTTCAAAGTAGCTAATTATCTCATGGGCAGTTGATATCTAGATCAATAAAAAGATGCAAAGAATATTGCATGTAAGTTCATAGAGAAATTTCCATATTTCACTGAAAAAATGAATACACATTTGTGGTGCATTACCACAATAATATCATCATCCACTATTTATGACACTAGAGTGAGCAGGCTGAATGAGTTAGATACAGTCAACTCTTTCCTTTCAGTTTAGACTGGTATTACATAGAGTATTTAAAACCCTTACCTAACCTACAAATAAGAAATAAAATCTAAAAAATTATCCCAACACAAAATTTTCCTCTATCACTGGTATTTGTGGATCATGTTTAGTGTAGGTACTCTCGACTGATACATCGACCAAAATATCAATATATTTCCAATTAAGACAGTTGTTCGACAGTTGGTCAATATATTGGTTAATATGTATGTCAGCTGATATGGCTTTTAGTTCACCGATACTTTGCCAATATTTCACCAATACCTTGCTGACAATTCACTGAGTATTGGTCACTAATTGATTGGCCCCGGTCAATAGTCGACACTCCGTTCAGTCAGATACTAGCATAACACTCGCTCACTAACTTGTTTTGCATTCTTCCCCACAGATTTTCCAGCAAAAGACTCTGTCTAGACTCACACTGAAACATTTTCCCTCGTCACATGAAAGCATTAATTGATGATGTCATCACTTAAAAAGAAAGCCATTGGACTGCTAAATTAACACACCTGATCAATACTCAACACTGATATTCAACCAACAGCTGACCGATATACCACTGACAGCAGACCGATATACCACCAACTGCTGACTGATATATCACCGACAGTTGACCAATATATCACCGACAGTTGACCGATGCACCACAGAGATATGACCGACTCTCAACCTGTAGTTGGTCACTATATTGATCGACTATTGACTTAATTATTGATGGACTAGCAACCGACTATTGGCCAACTGTCAACCGACTGTTGACTGACTGTCGACAGACTGTAGAACGACAGTTGATTGACTGTTAACCGAGATATCAGTCAAGTATCAACTGACTCTAGACCGATATATCGACCACTAGATTAGTCACAAGTACCTACAGTAAACATGATCTATATTTTCTGTGGTACCCAGAGAAAAAAAATTGGTTGTAGGCCATTAAGAAATCATTTAATTTCAGTAATGCAAAATCTCAAAGTGGGTTCACATGTATTTCTAGCAGGCTATGTCACAAAAGGCTCAAAGTTTTGTGAAAACAAAATGATGGTCTCAAAGGTGTCTGCTATAAACTAAGAAAGTCTATTGAACACAGAGGTAGACTTCATTAGTCTTATTTTGTGGTGTTTACCAGCTCCTAAAGGAGCTATTTCTTTGTAATAAGTGATTCATTATTGTAGAGGAAACTGCTCTGTGATCTCCCCCTACAGCTAAAAGACCACTTCTAGCCTGCAAAGTTCTTGAACCACACAAACTTGTCCAACTCAACCCCAGTGTCCGAGTACAAGACACTTATAATGAGCAATTACAGCAGAACCAACAACTTAACAAGGCCTACCAGGATCTGAGGGGTATATTTGAAGCCCTCAAACAAAGTAGCCAGCTCTTAGAGCATGCTCAAAAAGTGCAGAAGAAATGACTGAGTTTGTAAGAGAGAGAGAAATGTGCATCGTCAACTACAGGCAAGACATCAGAGAGAGAGAAGAATGGAACCAAGCCTTAGAGGCACAACTGGGAGAGCTGCAAAACCATCCAAAACCACGGGCAAACAAATTTGAGAGAGCCAGTGGTCAGCCGTTAAAGAACATATACAATATATATACACCTTAATCACCTGTGTATAAGCCACACTTTTTTCCTGTGAGATCATTAGGCAATCCTTGTGTCGACTTAACTTCCTCTATTGCCTAGTTACTAAGCTTCATGATTGTTCATTGCTTGTTTACGGTCAAAAGAACACCTTGAATGAAAATGCACTTCCCAAATATCACCTTCCCGATACCAGGTGATACCTCAGTGTTTCCTGAGTTTTATTCCTTCCCACTCAGCATCAATAGTATGTTGGTCAACACCTTGGCTGACACATCAGTAGTGTGTCGGTAGAGTGTCCACCAATGTATTGGTCAACATATTAGAAGGGTTACTACATCATGGGCATTGAGCCAGGAAAGGAAAATAGGCTTAACTGTGAGGGGTCAGTGGTGAAACAACTTTAATAACTCATATAGAGACAGATCATTTGTAGTTGCAGAAAACAATCATGTTGTAAAGCCAAAATAATACCAAGTTATACTTTGCCAGTTAAAAAGTTAAGAAATTTTCCTAAACCCTTGACTGTAACAATACTTTTTCCCCTATATTAACCAAAAGAGGCAGCCGAAAATTGGTCACACTGTAGGGAGAGTCATCAGGAAGAATGGTATTCATGTTTTGTACCCTGTTCTGTGACAAAAAAAAATTATCTTGACTTATATCTGTCAACACATTGGTCAATGCATGGGTAGTGTGTCAGTAGGATGTTAGCTGATATGATGGTCAACAGATTGGTCAACACATGGGTAGTGTGTCAGCTGAGGTGTTGGTCAACACTTTGGTTGCTGCATTGGTAAGATTGGATTTGTTACCTCACCCATGTTTTCATTTGTGTTCTGATAAAAACACACAATCCACACTTGAGGTGACCACATTGTAAGAAAAACCACACTTGATCTCAAGCTTATGTTGTTATCATGATGTTATAAACATAGTTCAATCTTTCAGATTATTTGACTTGCTTTGAAGTGTGCTTGAGGTGAGGTAAATTTGGATATACAAATGCAGAAATCCATGTTATTTCTTCTTGCTATTTGCTGATCTTATGTTAGTTTATTGAACTGCAAATTCCAGTTACTTGAAGGGTGCCCCAGTAAAACTCACTGCATGTGACCAGCAATCACCTGAACTGTATGTAAATAGGGTCTAAATTTTTGCTATCTTTGGTTGTGTTTGAGAAAGTTATCTTCAAGCAGAACTTTACCGTGCCAGTATAATCTACAGGCTAGAAAAGCTTTGCATCCTTTCTATATATCTAAAAAGCTAAAAACAAGGTCAAATACACAACAACCAAGGGTAACCAAAAAACAATACAATCCACAATCCACAGAACAAATTCTGATTCCAAATTCAACTGTTTGTGAGAATTTTCACTCTATAGGATTTTTTCTGAGGGCAAATCTCCTGATTCTCAATCTTTTTGCTTTCTTCCTCAATCAAGACATTCATTTTCCTCTAGACCTGAGCTGAATGCCACACAATTGTTAATGGAATTTAATCTTGCTATGGTTGTCTCCTTTGTTTTAAACGATCTATGGTAGCGCTGCTTGACAGCAATATTACTGAGAAACAATGCTACAAGCACATTAGAAAATTCAAACCTTGTTTGCACTTTAAATTGCATAGTGTATAGACTGGACATGAAGTGGATATTTGGGAAAAAATTCTGATGACGTCATTTTGCGTAATTGTTTCAGAGATTGAATGTGAAAGTAACAACGACAAAAACTTAGACATGTCTTACTTTAGTGATATCACCCTGTATCTGAATAACTCCGGGGAGAGGAGCCATGGCTTGTAGATCAACGGCCACAATTTTTACTTTGCCTTTGTTTTCTGAACGTTCGTCGATCAATTTTCTGCTTAGTACTTGACTCCAGCTCCCCGGGGCCGCACACAAATCCACGACACGACTAACACCATTAAACAGATCAAAATCATCGTTGAGTTGTAACAATTTAAATGCACTTCTAGCCCTCCAGCCATCTTCCTTTGCTAGTCTATAGTAAATATCTCGTTTATCTTTAGAGGAGCGTCCCATCGTGTACAACAAACTTCTCTGTTCGCTATTCCCAACCCCCTCCCCCTTCACTCATTCAAATACTGAGGAATTTTTTTGGAACTGGGCATGACTTTGCATAACTTCACTTTCAACATGGCCGGCGTTGATGATAGCAGTGATCCAATCGAGTCTTCACCAGACTTAGAGAATCAGAAAAAGGAAATAGCAGAGGCTATGAATAAGCCTTTAGTTAAAGGTGATATCTGGTAAGTTTCAGTGGAAATGATTTTTTATTAACGTATGGTTTCTGCGGCAGCTCTTAACGGAAGTGAAAGTGGTGTAAGAACTACTTTGACCAGAATAGAAAAAATTGTTCAATTTCAACTCCTAGTTTTCAAGAACAAATAAGCCCACTTATTTGAAGACTTGATTCGCAAGTTACCTTTGACAGAATGGGTAGTGCAATAGTGAAAAGAGAGTAGAAGTTAACACCTGTGACTAGTCTGCATTTTTTGGGGTTTTAAAACTGTACCTTCAGCTGCGAACGATCTTTAGAACACACAGTGAACGAATTAAGAATATCCATAGCAGTGCAGTGAGTAATGCCTCTCGTATTTATAAACATAACACCAAGCAACATTCATTTACAACTGTGCTTCTACATGGTTTTAAAAAGTGCATCCAAGTTAGATGTTTACTTTTTATGCGAAAATGCAGTATTTCGGTTTGTTCTCTTGTCTTGGAATGTAAAAGGATCAGAAAAAAGCAGACAATGTTAATGTAAACAAGAGCAGTTTACAGTCCATTGACCTAAATGACTCTCTATAGCTTTCAAATTATCACTCCTCTTCAGTAAAATTTATGTAAGTTCTGATTATGCACAAGTGGCAAATGTGCTTCACACATGCTAGCAGAAGATGGCTGCACTTTGTAGATCAAAAATGTGAACTACAGCTAACGATGTACAATGATCAACATTCAACTCTGGAAGAAGAAGAGGATTTCCAGCTTGTACACTGGCTAAAACAGACTTCCCTGAAATTAACTATATAAATAAGCACAAGCAACTTTTTCAAGCAAACTGAAAAAAGGAATTGGACAGAGAAGAATAAGAACTTACTGCCTAAGTGTTGTTTCTCTGACAGAACCCCATCACTGAAGTGTGCATAATGTATTGTATACAATATATATATATATATATATATATATATATATATATATGTATGTATGTATGATCCTTCCAGTAGTCCTTCAAATACCACTTTTTAATAGGCTTCTCCTTTTCAGGTCACACAAGGCTTAATTGTCTTGATTTGTTTTGTAGGTTTCTTGTTGATAGTCACTGGTTTAAGCAGTGGAAGAAGTTTGCTGGGTATGATTCATGGGATAAATTTGAAGTTGGACAAGACTTGAATAATCCTGGTCCCATAGATAATTCAAGTCTTTTTGAAGGTAAGAAACAATATTTTAAGGGGTTTGACCTTTGTCTTATGTGTGTTGATGATGTCTTTTTGTTTTCTTGGTATTTCAAAAAAGGAGAAAAGAGTTTGGTTGTACATTATTTTTGTAGGAAGGAAGAGAACAAAACACCTCTTATATAGGGACTCAATTCATACCCTATAATTTATAAACTATTTTTATAAATTATTTATAAATCAAAAAATTTAGAGACATAAATTAAACTTATTTTTAAATTATTGTTCTAGTCTTATAGGTGGATTTTTTCAGTCACAAATAAATTGGCTGCTGTTTCTAGAGTTAAATAAAATGTTTGATAAATAGGAACCTGTATACCTTACTGTTTAAATGTATCGCATTTAAAGCAAACTGTAACCTTCAATCAGCAACAAAATTGTTGACACATTGACCTTTTCAACCCCCTATGACTTCAATTTTATCTCTTTTACCCTTGCTAAGTTAGCCTATCACTTTGTTACATACAGGCAACATTGAATTGGGGAGTGAGGTCCTGTCACTGATTTAGAAAGTGGTAGAAACAGGAGTGTTATTCCACACATTAGTAGGACTCTTCAAACATAATGTGTCAATTAATTGTGACACCGATTGTCATATTTCTTACAATCATATTATTCTTTAATGACAAAACCAAACCAAACCAAAACCAAAGCTTAATGTTTGGAGGAAAAATGAAGTTTGTAACATATCATCTAGTTTCATTGGTTTATTCATCACTTTATCCTTATCACTGATAAACATGATGTAAGAGTAATGGGAGTCACTAAGATATATTTTATGATACTACCAGAATTTCTGTGAATCTTAAATTCAAATTTCAGTTCAAATTTAAACGAGAAATATATAATGAAATGAACAAGTTGTACATGAGGTGTCAACTTTTTGTTCTTTTTATCTCATTTAAAATCCTATGAACAGTGAATTGCAAAAAGCCAAAAAAATGCCAAACTTCTGCTCAATTTTTGTTTGTGCCAGGCCTTCAAGATTTTGTGTAATGTGCACAAGTGCATGCGTTTGTCCACAGATTTTCCCCTGAAAAACCATGTTATCAAAAGTTTTTGAGCCCAGCACTTCAACTGGGTGTTTTTTATATATAGATGGCTACATAAAAGACATTAACTGCCATGTATTGAGTGGTGCCCATACTAAAGCTGAATCAGTCCAAAGTAAACATGAAGACAAAATAATATTACCACAGACTTCTCTTGAAACTTCATCTTAAGGAAATGTTTCCCTTTGTTGTTCAGACAATCAGGGACAAAACAATGTTGTATAATGATTCCATGAACTTTAACCTGCATACAGGCAACATTTAAATTAATGGGGAAGGGGGGTCTTATCATTGATTTAGAGCATGGTAGAAACAGGAGTGTTATTCTACACATAAAGAGGACTCAGCAAACATGATGTGTCAACATTGATGCCAATGTTTGGACCTGTGTTTTGAGTTTCCTGTATTATGTCACAGGGCAATAATTGCAACTTGGGTCACCAATTATTGTATATCAGTCACATCACAAATTTAGTCATGAAATAATTGGTAATGATGTCCTGGTGAGATGAATAACACTTATGAATAACACCTTGGAGAGATACTGTTGCTTGTTTGTCTGCAGCTTATTAATTATTTTCCATCTCTGTGCCTAGAAGACCAAATACCAATATGTTTTAAAATAAAATTAAAAAATACTGCAAAAGTGGCAGCTAACAGAAGTTTGATCTTTTCTGTAAATAATGATGTTGTTAATTTCAGAGGAAATAGGCAGTGATTTTGCTCAACATTCTGTATGTACATGGTAAATTCTGCTGGTTACTGGCTATCTTCCTGTAGAAAAGCAATGTGAACCTGCAAATTTTTTGTGAATAGCTCAGAGGTAGTGCTAAGAAGAACAGAAATATTTTGGCAAATGGAAAACTTTAATTCACTACTTGATGATGGAGAGCATGTGATCAAATTAAGTTAAGTACTTTTCAGAAATGGAAATTTAAGAGCTTAATCATTGCCTTGGTTGTATCAAAATTGGGTTGAAAATGACACAAAAATTATTTTTTGGACCTCTGTAATCATATGCATAGAACCACTTGGTCTCCTCCTTTTTAAATAGAAGTACCCTTAATTTTACCAGTACTTCACTTGTGTTCAAGTTGTAACAAAAGCTTTTATTTGTCATCTCTCAAGAGTAATTCAGGCTGCTCTGGGAAATCATTGATAGTACTTAACTAACGGAAACTGTCTCCTTTTCTGAGACTGCTGTACATATTTTTTTACTGGTGACAATTTTACCATACTGTATATTAATCATCTTTGTAGCTGATGGTTGCACTCTGAAAGATCATCTTATCGATGAGCTTGATTACACCCTGCTACCAAAAGACTCGTGGTGTAAACTTGTATCATGGTATGGAATTACTTCAGACCAGCAGACTCTGTCCAGGAAAGTTGTGGAACATGGAATGTTTGTCAAAAGCTGTAAGGTTGAAGTATATCTCACTGCTTTGAAACTTTCCAAATACTCAGATCCCCAAACATTTGTCACAAGGCAGTTCAGCAAGGCAGATACAGTTGGTAAGTTGACATTATAGTCATCTAAGTATATACTTCTCTTACTTGAGCTGAATAACTAGCTCACCCAAAGGTTACTTTAATTAATTTTTGTCAAACAAAAAAACATAATGCTTTTAAAAGTATTTTTAAAGTATCAATGATTTGTATGAAATTTATTGAAGGAACTTGGTTGACTGTGTGAATTTGTGGAGATTTTATTGACTTCTTAATACTGCTTTATATTATTTGACTGCTCGATGACTGGGAAAGATGAAGAAAATCCTGGGCTCTAATTGGCAAACAAGTGGGCAAGATAAGCCTACCTTGCCTGCTGTAGATTTGCTTTGCCTACTCTGATCCTAAAAGGAGAAGAAGTTGTGGTTTTTGGTTTACATTTTTCACGCTTTTTGGGTTACTATTTTGTTACAAGAGGAAGACTTCACTGACAGTTTTTTTTCCACACAGAGTGGCAGACTTAACAGTCTTTAGATGGTCAAAACCATTAAAACTATCACTTGTTTGGTGATGTAATTCACTTGGAAATTCTCTAGAGTTATTTGTATTTCATCTTTAATGATTTGGGATATCTTTCTTATATTGACCAAGCTTCTTTTGTCTGGAAAGTATTTGTCAGAACTCATCTGTAGCTCAGTCTAATTTAGTTTTCATAATTATGCTTGCAATTATATTAAGATACTAAAACTAAAATTACTGTTATTATAATAATTGTAATTCTTATTGTTATCAAAACAAGTATTTCCATAGTGAGTGGAAAAGACATACACTGAAAAAATACTTACATCTCCTATTTGGACAACATTTCAGTCCAACAAAAACAAAGCTAAAAAAGCACTTGGTCAATCATCAAGCCATCTTGACCTTATCATTGGTCAATAATATGCATATCCAGCCCAGGAAATCACAACAATTTGTAAGGTTTGCTGTATCTTAAAAAAGGAGTTAATTCATTCCTGAACAGGTCATCTTGTGTCAGAAATGAAAACAATATTTAACATACCAGAAGATGCTGAAACAAGAGTGTGGAATAAGTACAT